TTCGGAAGGTTTCTACTTCAGCCTCTAATAGTAGAATAAGAATAGGAAATAGGTGTAAAAAGATTACAAAGTCATAAACATTTCATACTACTTTAGACAATTGTCATTGTAACTATTATACTGTCAACAAGTTGATATATCCTATCCCACTGTGTTTTCAAAGCAGGGAAAATTCTATGAATTGCACTGCATGAACTTATTTGACACTGATGGTGTCAAGGTACTCAAAGTACGGTAACACCTAAATAGGAACAGTGATTCATTGCTTATGTTCGGCAGGAAATAGGTGTACAAAGATTAGAAGAAACTCTGAGGAGATTTACTTGGAACTTTACTGTCCATACTGAAAAGAACAGAGTACTGTACATTTTGTTTCTTCTAATTTCTAACTCATCTACTAACAATAAAATAAGTGTGAAAAGGTGAGAGCGTAAACTCTGACTGTAAGTACTTTGAAATTTTGTAATCACAATTAACAATACTATACATTATATTTTACAACCTTTATTTTCGTTATACTTTGCTTACTTACCTACAACCAGGAGAAATAAGTATAATGTTACCATACAAAAAGATAACAAATAAAATATTAAGCTTTACTGGAAATAAAAATGTTTGATATTGGATTACGAGGTTTTATATTTTTCTTTTTTTTAACTGTTTATTATTATAAAAGTAACTAAAATCATAAAAAATAGAAAGTTGTTAGGTAAAATAATGAAAGAGAAATAATAAAAAACCTTCATGGGGTATACACGCCAGAAGCTTCTACACTATCCTGTTTGATAGGGTCATGTTGATGCATGTGCGCCGTGTAATTTTCAACTTTTGTTGGGATATTTTTAGTCAGACATGGTTCAAAGGTCAATAAAACAAAAATTAATAAATGTGAATAGATTTATACTGTTAAGAGACTTAAGCTATTTAGAATAAGCATTTGTTGTTTCCTTTTCAAATTTGTAGACAAAAAAGGTAATTTAGATTTATTTCCTAATTTTTATGATGGTTACGAGGCCAGTCAAATCGATCAACACCATACAGAGTTAACATTGGTAAAATAACAGATTAAATATAAAGTTCAATTAAAAAAAAACGTTTGATGATTATGTAGAAGGATATAGAGATTATTCAAATGAAACTTGACAAATTTAAAGATAAATAAAAGTATTTTTAACCTTAAAATCAAAATTATTTTGTATGTTGGATAGTCAACATTCTGAAAGAAAAAATTTACAAGCA